TCCAAACATACAATTGTGACAAGGAGAGGATCTTTTTTCTTCTTAATTTGAAGATGTTTCTTATTAGAGAATTTTTTCTTATACGTTTAAATTTACCCCAATTTTTCTTTATATTATATATTATTTTGATATTTATATAACAATTAAAATTTTCTATTAATACATAAAATAATCAAAGCATTTAAGCATGTATTCAAGGATAGACTGAATGGGGTGAGTGGACTAAAATTTTAAATCTTTATATATTTTAGATATTTACCATTTATAATATATTTTTGTCTCTTAAAATTTTATAAATTTATCCTCTTAACATAAAATTATACGTTCGTCCCAACCTACGTCTATGTTACATGAAGCCAACAAAGTTGACTTTCTTAACTTCGAATTTCTTGCCGTATTGCTTTAATTTTCATTTCTCATGAAGTAATCATATCTGATATATATATATATATATATATATATATAATAAAAAACACACGAATGGTGAGACACAGTGAAGGTTGGGGAGTGTTAGCACACAAATTTATATATATATATATATATATATATATATATTCATATGTATTTGTATATTAAATTGATAATTTTAAAATAAATTTTATTCATGTCTATGATTTAAGCTTATAAGTTGTAATAAAAAAATAAAATACATTTCTTTTTTTTCATTTTGCTACCTATCAATTCACAAACTCTTCAAACTAATTATCACAAATAATAAATCATAATCATCTAAAACTATTTTTTTAATATTAGTTTTCTTACCTCAGTCTTCATCCAATAGAGTTGAAAGATTAATTTTACGGGTTAATTGCTAATGTAAAGACCTAACTTATTAAGATTTGCTCACATTAGGACTTAAGCTTTCTAAATGATAAAATATGGATCTAACATTTTTAAATCTACTCAAATAAGGGTCTAGCCTTTACCTTAATCGAATGAGGTGTCTAACATTTTCTAATATTTTTAAACAAGGGCCTAACATTTTTTAATCTGCTCAAATAATCTCTAATTTAATTAAATTTAATGATATGACAACTCACATGATAATCCATTTTATATTCATTGGGCTGTATAACTTCTATTTTAAATGAACAATTTTGATTTTTTAATAATTTTGTTGTGCATTTTGAAGTACATATACATTGTTAGACATGCTGACAGATTAGAACTGTTACAAGTTTTTTAATGTTCCATCAAGTTTAATGTCTAAAAAACAATAAATTGACTAAATTTTAAAGATTAATTATCAAAATGATACAAAATGAACAAAACAATATTGAGTTTGGTGGTTGTAGGGCATGAACAATGTTGTAAGGGGTTGACGAGGGGTGTGTAGTCAACATGGAGAGACGATGGCAACTGTTGGAAATTGGGTAATGACATTCCACATTGGGGAATGGGTGTTGGGGAGGATCAAGATTTGGGAGAGGGATTTTATGTTGGACCAAATTGATGGAATTTTTAAATATTAAAGATTTATTAAATTATCTCAAATTATGACCAATTTGATAGAATGTCTAAGTTTTGAGGACTAAAACTATTTTTATACCATGTCACATCACCATTTCCTAAGTCATCAGTCCAACCTAACGACATATGACCAAAACAGAAAAGAAAAATAACGTTAGATATACTTTTGAAAAAAATAGTTGAGTAACCAAAACATAAATGTAGGAACAGGTAGGTGACGAAATATGTAGTTTGTCCTAAATTAATGGTTATTTAAGTCGATTAAAGACAAAAAAATATTGTTGTAAAATATGTTAAATCTCTATTTGAGCATATTTGAAATGTGAGGTCTTTATTTGACTATTTAGAAAGGTCATGCCCTTATTTGGACAAATTAGAAAATATTAGGCTTTTATTTGACTATTTAAAAGATTGTGTCCTTATTTGAACAACTCTTAAAAGGTTAGATCCTTATGCATTATTTTGCCTTTATACTAGTTTTCATCCAATTCTATTTCCAACTTTACAACTTAAATTGAAAGTTTAGAACAAAGTTTGTTAATAAAGATTTCCATATTTTCTTTTCTTTTTATTGTTTATGTTATTGTAAAATGAGTATTTGCTGAATGACCATTAAAAATTCCAACATCAAAAAGAAAATTTTATTTATCAATTGATAAAAGTAATAGTTTTGTATGTTTTTGTTTTTATTAATATAGTAATTGCTTGTATGTTTTTATATTAGTAAAACATAATAACGTATCTTAATTCATATATATATATATATGGTTTATTACTGATATTCGATCTATTAATCGACTAATCTAAATTAAGTATTGCAAATGTCTAATATGGGGCAACCCTTTCAACTTAATTTTTTACATTCATAACGTCAAGATTCAAACTCTTAATCGTATTAAGGAGTCTAGTGTCTCATCCCTCTAAACAAAACAAATAAATATATAATCCATAATAACACAATAAACAAAACCAATACACATATAACTTGTTTTAATACATTTTCTATCATTTTCATTTCTGCGAATCAAATTCATCAAAATTCGTCATTCAAAATACATACTCATGAATATCACTCAATTTTGTGTCCAAATAGCATAGATATTTTTGTTGTATATGTAATACTTTATTAAAAGTTGATTGACTAAGAACTTAAGACCTTGAAAAAAATGCAACTTGAACACATTCCATTTCAATGGAAGATGAAAACCATTAACCTGCTCCCTTTTTCTTCTTGTTTAAGCTTCAAAGCAGAAAATGTGCCATGTTGAGCAAGGAAATAGCAGAAAAGACACGAGAACTAAGGTAAATCTGAATGTTATAGTTAGGGATTGACCGTCTCTTGTTAGAGTATTTTTTTTATCATTACAATGTATGAGCTCATGCCATGCATGTGATGTTGTGCCATCCTTTGTTTGATAGACGGCTGAGAGGAGAGGAGCTCCAAGGGTTAGATTTAGAAGAATTAAAAGAGCTAGAGAAATTACTTGAAGGAGGCCTTAACCGAGTCACGCAAACAAAGGATGAACGATTCTTCAAAGAAATCAACACCCTCAAAATGAAGGTAATAAAATAGCTACCTTGCAATAGTTGATTCTATATATATATATAAGTATTATATTTATGCAGGCATAATGTTAAAAAATATCATTTTTAAAAAAATGATCTTATGTTGATTAAACTGTATCTTTGACTCATATTTTTTTGTGCATTTTGACTCTCAATATTTAATTTTATGATAAAAAGGTCCCTAATGTTTGATAAATAGTTACTTTGACTCCTTTTTTTTTTTTGAAGATTTTGGCCCCTAACATTTCATTTTAGGATAAAAATATCTTATTTTAGAGCATTAACTATTTGTTGAGTAATTATTTTCATCTCCATAAGAATCTTTTTATCCAAAAATAAAAATTGAGGATCTAGATACTTAAAAAAGAATAGAGACTAAAATTACTATTTAAACAAAGGGACATTTTTTTGACATTATGCTATTTATATATATAAAGATCCATCTACTTTATTTTATTCCCAATATTTTGTCTCTCTTTCTTGGTCAAATGATAAATTACTTGTTCCATTGTTGAATATGAAGGGAGTAGAACTGATGGAAGAAAACCAGCAATTGAAAGAGAAAGTGAGTGTATATCATCTGGGGCAAAAACTTTAGTTTCTTGCATGCTTTCATTTCATTTGACGGCAAAAAGTTGATTTTTGTTAGATGGAGAATTCACCTCATGTGGCTGAGCAAGGCCAACCATCAGAGACCGCCGGCCATGCATGGAGAAGCTTTAGCTCTGACATTTCTCTCAGATTGGGGTAAAACTTAACTTATCACCGTTCATAGTCAGGGATTTAAATTTTGGATACGGTAGCGTTTTTTTATTGTATTGCGTTTATCGCGATTGCGAATATAATGGATATTATTGTGATCACTGTGGGTATCGCGGTTGTATAATAACAATTTCGGACTGTACCGTTGCCCTTATATAGCGGACCGCTATTTAAATCCCTGTTCATAACGACACGAAAAACTCATTTTGTTGTAGTGATTTATGCCATAGCTTTGTCCGAGTTCATGTTGGAATGCTTGTTTGTTGCAGGTTACCTTACCCTAACTGAGTGTTGAAAGGTTAGAGGGGATGATGCCAGAAAGTGTTCATCATTATCATCTTATTATTGACTCCTGTATGTATTATAATATTTATAACCAATTTATGGCCACTAGTACAGTTTGTTCCTGAGTAATATTTATAGCGAAGTGTATGAATTCCATTACAGTATACTTGGGTTTTCCATGCCTCTTCAACTGTATAAATGGTCATGTGATCAGCCACTTTGGGATCTCAGTAACTAATATATATATATATATACAGAAAACAAGTTGGAACAAATTTGTATTATATTATTTTGGTTTGGATCAAATTCAAATATAAATTATTTAGGTTTGGGACTTGAATCTTTTTGGATCAAGTCATTATAAAATAATATTTGTTTTAAAGTCTCTCGATTATTTGACAATAAAATTTCAAGCAGTCTTATAGTCTCTGATTTTTGAACTTGAGATCTCTAAAAATAATAATCATCTCTTTAACCACTGATGTAACTTAATTTGTACACTAATAAAAAATTAAAATTTTCATAGACCGAATATTGATACTTACTATAGGTGTTAACTGTAGATAAAATAATTAATATATATAATGATCATTGAAGTTTATATTAAATATTTTATCAATATACATATATTATATTGATATTTTATTAAAATATAAATATCGTATTTTGATATTTTAAATGTAAAAATATCTGGTTAAATAAATTTTCAAAGTAAAGATATCAAAGATATTCTTGCCAATGGAAAACTAAAGAAGGCCATGCATTCCACGCGCACAAAATCGCGTGAATTTAGTACTTTCCGAAAGCTTTAGTCTCGTTACTTTCCCGATATAGAACTGTTCCAATATCATAACAACCAAAAAAAAAACCCCCGAATTTTCTATCCTTTCCATCTCGCTTCCACCTCTTTAAAGGGAAAAAGAACAGTAATTGGGAAGAAAGATTGAAGAAATACAAGAAAACTCATATTGTGAGGTTATTCAGCAATGGATGAAACGTACGATGTGATAGTCTTAGGCACCGGCCTTAAGGAATGCATTCTCAGTGGTCTTCTCTCCGTTGATGGACTCAAAGTAGCTCCCTATTCACTCCTCTGTACATTTTTTACATATCAAATTTGATTGTTTTTATGTTTGAAATCAATTTGGAATCTGGTTTTTTTAAAACCATCATGGACACTCTCCTATGGATGTTTTTGTTTCATTTACTGAATGTGGAAATTTGTTTCTGGGTGTTGGTTCAAGTGATGAGCATAAATGGGTTAGATTTGTTAGGCTATTTTTTTCTTTCTTTCAATACTGAATTAGTTATTAAGCTGGCATCTAAGTATTTGCACTTCAAAACAGGTTCTGCATATGGATAGAAATGATTATTACGGTGGAGAATCAACTTCTCTTAATCTCGTGCAGGTCATTTCTTCTTTTGTTATTAAGTGATGGAACTTATAATTTTGTTTTTAACCTTTATCTATAATGTCCTTACTATATTGGTTTCATCTGACATTTTCTGAAAATTGCATTTGTGGACCTGTGGTGATAGCTCTGGAAGCATTTCAAGGGAAATGACAAACCTCCGGAACAGCTGGGCGCAAGCAGGGAATATAATGTTGATATGATTCCCAAGGCATGCGAACAACATTTCCCTTTAACATTTTGCTTAATTACTAGGAAATTTGAAGTTTTGTTTAGTACTTAATTGTCTGTTGGATGCATATGTATGTACGTATATATGATTGCATGCATGCATCTTGGGTTGCAGTTCATATATGCATCTTAGGTTATATAATTATATGTTACGTACACGTAATAGAAACAGTATAGTTATCCCAGGATTAGTATGAATTCAACCATTTCGTAATGTTTGTTTAGCGCATCGTACGTCTTCAAAATGTGCAGTAACAAGCTATCCATTAGCTTGCAGTTTATTATATATATATATATATATTAGGTTGTAGTTCATATATGTTTCTAAGGTTATAATTATATGTGTGTGTGTGTAATTGAAACAGGAAAGTTTTCCCAGGATAAGTATGAATTCAGAAAATAACAATTTATTTATGTTTGCTTTGGGGACTTTGCAGAGACAAACTATTTACTAATGAGTGTGCTATTCTTGTGCTAATTAGTTATGTTATTGATGCTTAATTTGGTTTCACAGTTCATGATGGCCAATGGCAGTCTGGTACGTATTCTCATCCACACAAATGTTACCAAGTATCTTAACTTCAAGGCTGTGGATGGCAGTTTTGTGTACAAGAAGAAAAAAGTAAGAGTAGCTTTATTTTTTTTTCAGTGTATTCTAAATATAAGTTCAAACGTCCTTCTATCACCTATATAACAACTTAAAAAAATTAGCATAACCTGTAGATCTATAAAGTTCCAGCAACTGATGTTGAGGCGCTGAAATCACCATTGATGGGGCTGTTCGAGAAGCGTCGTGCCAAGAAGTTCTTCATTTATGTCCAAGACTACGATGAAAATGATCCAAAATCCCATGAAAAGCTTGATCTGACTCAAGTAACAGCCAGGAAACTTATCTCGTGTGTACCTCATCCCTATTTCCCTCTAAATGCTTGCTCTACCACTAAAATTTACTACGAAATTAAGAAACAGTATATGCAATGCAACGGCTATAAATCGGTATTTAAACTTGTAGGTTAAACTTCTTTATAAATTCTAATCTGTATTGATTACAAATTACTGTTCTTGATCCTTGCTTATTGTTGCAATATAGCAAGTATGGGCTTGAAGATGATACAATTGACTTTATTGGTCATGCCTTGGCACTCCACAATGATGACAGTTACTTGGATCAGCCAGCTTTGAGTTTTGTTAAGAGAATAAAGGTAAACGTTTGTTTCATGTCATATTTCATCTTTGTTTAGCATTAAAATATATCTGCTTAATCTTGTTCTTCAATGGCCGCCCATACTTTTTTTAGTCACTATATTCTGAGTATTTAGGCATTTTTCTTGTAAAAGCTCTATGCAGAGTCTTTGGTACGGTTTCGAGGAGGATCTCCTTATATCTATCCACTATATGGACTGGGAGAATTGCCTCAGGTATGTCTTTTACATCTCTGGATTATTTCCTTTTTCTAGTTTAAAAATATACGAGGGGCTGACTTGTTACTGGGGCCTCTATTGGCAGGCATTTGCACGTTTAAGTGCTGTGTATGGAGGTACGTATATGCTCAACAAGCCAGAATGTAAGGTAAATCTCTCACAACACTTTAAAACCTAGAATTTGTTTCTCTTTCACAGGGCTGTCTCGGACATTTTCAAGACCTGATAAAAACAAAAAATAGACCCCTATAGGACAAAAACACATTCTATTATTTTGAACGATTAATTTAATATTTCACTGATAAACCGTAAAAATATGATCAAAATTTTGTCAAACACATTATTTTCATTGTTTTGTTAAGAAAATAATACACCTTAATGCAACTAAAACAATAAAAGACAACCACTAACTTACAAGATTGTCACTTTGAAAAATCTCGTCCTCCGAGCTTTCTTTGAAACAAATTCATCAATCAAATCTTCTTAAAAAACTGGTAAGATGTCGAGACAGTAAGCTGTGAAGGTGGAAGGTGGGGCCTTAATCTAGAGCTCATGCTACTCCCCATGAGCCGGGCCTGCTCTTTGTCCTCTGTATTGTACACGTAAACAATTAGTGATTAGTGGTTAGAACTATGGAGCTCATATAGCATCATGCAGTATTATGCCTCCATGATGGATCCATTGGAGTACTATCTATAAGGTGAATATCCTTATAATTTGTGGCCATATTGCTCCGTCTCTTCATGTTTTTTGTAGTACCATGTTCTGCCACTTATTTGGACCTTTTATGATTCTGAACTTTGGGGGCATCAAATCAAACCACTTCATGCCTTATTCTAGTTCAAAAAATGTCAAGTAAATAAGCAGAGCTGAATTGAGGGTGCCTTTACATTTTCCTTGTGAAATTCTTATCAAAGGTTTGTTTCTTGAATTGTAGGTAGACTTTGATGGTGATGGGAAAGTCGTTGGTGTAACTTCTGAAGGCGAAACCGCTAAGTGCCATAAAGTTGTTTGTGATCCATCTTATTTGCCTGATAAGGTAACCTCCGGCGAAACTATGCTGCACTCTTTCTTCCTTTGGAGACGAATATGAATCCTCGAAAAAACTAACTATATCTACATTTCTTTTCATGGAATCGTCAATGCAACAGGTTAAGAAGGTTGGGAAAGTTGCTCGTGCTGTATGTATAATGAGTCACCCTATTCCTGATACCCACGATTCTCATTCAGTTCAGGTTATTCTGCCTCAGAAGCAACTCGGTCGTAAATCAGACATGTATGCTTCTCTCTCAACTAGTTTCAGATTTTTTTCCTTCGAATATGGGTCGCTAAAACAGAGAAAACGACACAATTGCAACAATTAAATACATCGCATTGGTTTCAGGGTGGTGTCCATGATGTGACGTGAATTTTGATGTTTATTTTGGCTACTGCAGGTACCTGTTTTGTTGCTCTTATGCTCATAATGTAGCTCCCAAGGGAAAATACATTGCTTTTGTTTCAGCAGAAGCTGAGACCGACAACCCTGAACAAGAGTTGAAGCCTGGAGTGGCTCTGCTGGGATCTGTAGATGAGATATTCTATGACACTTATGACAGATATGTGCCGACCAACGACCACAGTGCCGACAACTGCTTCATATCTTCTGTAAGTTAAAAGATGGAATAATTGAAAACATGACCTCATTACCTCATACCTGAGATTTCCTATAGCTTGTGATGATTGAGATCGCCATTGTTGACATAACGAACCCTTCATCTAGTGTTTTGTTGATTCAACTTACAGAGTTATGATTCGACAACACACTTCGAAACCACCGTGATCGATGTGATGGAGATGTATACTAAGATCACCGGAAAGGTAGCAGTTTCATTTTCCAAATGTTTTTCACTTACATTAATCTTTCATCTTACCGTATTTATAGTAACATAGTATTCACCTTTATCTGTTCTGCAATGGTGTTGATGATTCAAACACACTGCCAATCACCATTGTTGTCATGTTCTTCAGGCTCTAGATTTATCGGTGGACCTGAGCGCTGCTAGTGCTGCTGAAGAAGAATGAACAAGTTCTTCAAACATGTTGGCCTTCTCATGCAATACCATTAGCAAAAAAAAAGCTTCAAATTATTTTTTCTGTAATCAACTAATATCCGATTATTTAGCCTACTCTAGATTGGATATTGCAGATCATTGTATCTGCTTAGATGAAAAACTATGATTAGTTTTTCTTTCATCGTAACTGCTTTAAATGCTTTATCCAAATTCACTTGTGGGTTGGTGTAACATGTTCTTGAACCAATATAATTAACAATTCTTTTTTTTTTTTGGATGCATTATTCTAATTCTTTGAAAGCCTTGTATTTTTAGTTTTTACATGACTTTGAGTATTTTGATATATTGATAATGTAATTTTTAAATTTACATTTAAGGGTCTGATTGATACATTAAAAATATATTTTGGAAAATGAATTACATTTTTTTTAAAATAACCTATATGTAAATGATTTTCACTATTTGATAATTTTTTAAGAAATTATTCATTATACAATAAATAATATTATTAAAGTATTAAAACATGTACGGATCTAGGATAGGGATGGAGCTTAGGCCTTAGGATGTCTTTCAATACTTCATCATTGATCTAGAGATTGAATTGGAATTGGAATGAGAAATAACTCTAAAAGAAAGGTATCCATACTTGTAACTTCCATTCTTTGCAACCAAGCAGTGACGGATGTAGTTTATCTCCGGGATTTACAAGTGTCCACCTGAAATATGATTTTTTTTTTACGTTCATTTTTGTTGCTGGTATCCATCTGAGATTTTGTTTGTGTCCACTCATTTTGTGTTATCAATATATATGTGTCCACTCTAAAAAATATTTCTGAATTTTGGTGTTGCTGTGAGAGTCTTATAATATATATAAACTTGTTTAATCTCTTGAAAGGGCTTTGTATATGTTTTGATACTTTAAAGAACCTCCATGGATTGAGGGCTAAATACCAGTGATGTGCTCATCTTCTGGTTAATCGATTCTTCTTAGTCTTTACAGTTTCGTTAACTAATTCAAACATTCGCAGCAATTTACAAGGTGAAGGGATTTGGAGGAACAGGAGTGGTTGAAATGGTCATGTTCCCTGCCAGCACGTTGGGTGCGATTGTATCCTACATAGCAACAAGGTTAACCTGCACGATTCTCTCCAGTATAACCAATTCAAACCTTCAACACTTCTTCTGTCTGCATGTATTTCCCCCCACGTTTGATTTCCTATTTTTAGAGAAATTCTTCTCCAAATTTACAAAAGATTATTTGCAGAAATGGGTAAAATAGGATTTTTAGGGTTTAGGAGTCTTTAAAAAGAGGGAAGTCAAACGGATAATCAATGTGATTGTCTCGCATGACCAAATGAGATACCAGGTCAGCTGGTTTAACACGCCACATCAATATTTTGTTACCTCCAATAATAATTGTTAACATCAAATAAAAGCTTATTTAATCTATAATTCAAACCTTCTTGATTTTATGGTATAATTAGAGGGGTCTACTTTATATAGAAATCTGGTATATATATAGAAATAAAAGACAAGAAGAGAAAATGAAGGTTCTGAATCAGAAATGTGCGCAAATTATTTAATATGCAATCCGAAAGAATCTTACACGAAATGCTATTCCTAGTCTCCTACTTGAAGAAAGCATCAGACAAGGAAGCATCTTCAAGTTGAACAATTGTTTTTGTGTGAGCTCCCTTGCCTGCCTCTCCACAAGAAAACATAATACACAACAGGATCAACATGTCCCATGCTTCATTCTCTCATCCCCTTTCTGCCAACAACATTTGTTCAAGTTCTTCTCTTCGTCTCTCCAATTCCTGCACATCAACACTCAGACATTATTCTAGTTTCTTTTTCTTTGTTTTGAAAAATCATGAAATCAACACCAAATTGCTAAATCTCCAATATTCATCATCGTGTAAGGTGTCTATTAATAAATATTTAGAGCAATGTTAGCCACTGCCATGTAATTAATGCATTACTTCTTGAACTCAGTTAAATAATGTGTTAATGCTAAAAAAACCTTTCCTAAAATGATTACTTAATATTCCTTAATTGGTGCTCAATATCCAATCAAAATCACTTGAAATGCACTACAACAATGTGTTCTTACAGTTAATTTGTCAACTTAAGAACACTGAGTATAATGTGGTTGGAGAGGTTTAAATCCTTAAAGAGGCATTCACTGTATGACTAGGCTTCTAATTGATCAAACAAAAGAATCCATAAAAAACATTCATCAAGACAAGATGTAGACCAAAAAGGCCAGATTTAAAGTTTCATAGCTTACCTCCAGATCCTTAACTGCTTGTTCCCTTGTAATTTCCTTTTCCTGGCGTGAACGTTTGAGCAAGCCAATGCATAAGAGTCCCTGACAAATTATTGATACAATCAAGTAGTAAACATAAATTCAACTCAAGCCACAGCTCTGAACCCCTGACTTCATTCCACCCCAAACTATATTTTTCAAGACATGAAAGTGGATAATAAACCTTAAACCTATATTGCTTCAACTCTTCATTTTTTTTTCTTCAACTATCCATGTGCATGTGTTGGACATATTTTCAGACATAGATGATCATATCCTCCAAATACATGGGAGAAAAAAGAACTTACAAAAGTTAAAACATACCCGTGTTCGACACAGACATGTATCCGACACAACACTCACATCCTAATATGAGTAACATAGCCCTAAATTATAATAACTGTTGAAACAACTAGCCGATTGATAGGCACCATGAAACTAAAACCACACTTAGAACACAAGATTAAAGAAAAAGGAAATACTAAATCTGTAGTTCAGTTGAATTATCATAAATCATAATCTTAGCCAGTATTCCTTCAACCTTCATATGCGATTTTAAGTTAGATGGGCCTAAATGAACTTGTGGGACTTGGTTGATTTAGCCTAGAAATTCTCACCGAAATATAAGACGGTAGGCTCATTATCTTACCGAAAAAACATATACTAGACCGCAAGCAAGGAGCACATAGCTCGCTATGTTCTGAAGAAGTACAAGATCCCGTTGACTCGATGAATATTCAGGGAAAGCTCTCGTCATAACTGCAACACTGAGGCGAGTAACAACAAATTTAAAAAGATTTTTTTAAGAGCGATTATTCAACAAAAAATTGTAAAATCAAGTATTATTGCAATCTAGAAATTTGGCATTACAGGGTAAAAAAAGAAAAATGGAAAAATCTTACTGCAAAATAAAACATACAAGATTTGAAGCATACCCCTACAAGCCCAGTACTCCAAAACCTGCATATTTATGTTGAAAAAAATCAGCATTTAATGATTTATCAGAAATTAATACCATATCATCTTCGAGGATATAAATTACCATCCAAAAGGAAAACCCTAACCTTCCAGAACTTGATTATGAATCCCCATTCTGTTTCCGCCAGAACCACAAAGAAAGCAATTACAACCGCGTAACACCGGAAAATCCCATCAAAAACCTAATTAAGGATAAAGGGGAAAAAGGGTCAAAATTTATTAAAGCGAAAGAAAGAAATAAAGAAAAATAATAGTAATAATAAAATATACATACATCGGATCCATTCTTGAAAGATCGAACAGCAGAGAGAACATTAACGGCAATGCAGAGAATGGCAGTGAGAGAGGTTATAACGCTAAAGCACCGGCAGACCACCAGAAAAGGGTCGGGTCCCGACCTTAGTCTGGCGCTCGGAGGCGGTCTCGGCAGCACAGGCTCGCTGCCCTCTGGATCTTCATTTCTCGACATTTTTTTCTGTTCACCTATTTCCCTTGGATCTGATAAAATCCCTAATAAATCAAATTAGTGAAACATTCTTGGAATCTCTTGGGGAATTCCTTGTTTTCTCTGTGATTGAGTGATTCGTTATGGAAAGTGGGATTCTTTCACCTGCCATTCAAGCCAAGTAAACTTTCCGTTGCCACGTGGGCGACAAGCAGACACCTGAGTCCATTAGATATTTTGGATAAACTATGCCTAAAACTACTCAACTATGGATGAATTCTAATTTTATCATTATTTTAATTTTATCGATCAAAATATTTATTTAATTATCTAAATAATATTAATTAAATAACTAATTATTAAAATTAAAATTTTGATATAATTTCACATTAATATAATATACATAAATATGAGCTAAATGTTTAATTATATCAATTTTTTAAATGTCACATTATTTTTTTGGTTAAATGTTAACCATTAATAATTTAATTAGCATCATTTAAATAATTAAATGATTTGATTAATAAAATTAAAATATCGATGTCAGATAATTGTCCTTCATAATTAAGTGATCAGAATGTAGTGATCTTAATTTTTTTTTGTAGCGGGATCTATAGATTAAACATAATTACCCTCTAATTTTATCTTATCAACGATAAATGATTAGTAATTCAAACGCTCATTTTTAACTAAAATTTTATATTTTGAATTAATAATTTTGATATGGATCCAAAAATCACCTCATTATCTGTACTAGCTTTTTGAATTTTTTTGTTTATGTTAATTTGAGTAAATTAATTTAGATATGGACAGCATTTCTTCTCTACAACAATAAAGCCAGTCATGCCCGACCTAACTCATTATTTTAAATATTTAGCTGACCCTTATTCTCATATGTAACGGGTTAAGGGGAGGTAGGATAGTAGGCTGCCCCCAACATTAGGTTGAGAGTAACTTCTGTGGGATACCTTCGAATTATGAATTACCCACCGTGAGACTCGATCCCACAACCATAATATTAAGAGCTTTATGCTTTACCAACTGAGCTAACGGGCAACTCTGACTCATTATTTTAAAGTACTCTCCAAATATTCCAATCCTAGCCTTTGTATGTTGCTCTTCATATTCTTTTGGGCCACATTGCTTTTCGTATCCTTTCCCATGTGTCACATGTTGGAGGTATCATCATCAAGCAACTGCAATAGTCTATTGATACCAAAATCCGAATTGAGGATGCTCCGACCGAAAGCCACGACTGGGTTATTACAATCATAGGCCCCAACGCTGTCAATACCAGTATTATGCTGAATTTTATAGGCGACGATGGTGATAATAGTATAGTTGAGGAAATTGAAATGTCTAAGGTGCAAGAACCATTGGTAAGGATGTTCAAGAGGATCTTGAAGGTGACGATGGAGAGCGCTGGAGCGACTTGAGGATGGTCACTTGTCGATTGTTGGCGGAGGTTAAACAAGTTGGGGGCATGGTAAAAAATGACATAAAATAGTGGACAAGATAAGTGAAGATACTGAGATAAAAACTAGGATTTTATACGACAGCCGTAACATGTATATGTACCACCCTTAATCCGTATATATCTCGTAATACGAACTAAAGATGTTATATCAACTTAATTTATATTTGTTGAACTTAGATGCTTAAAAAAATTGTTTCATTTAATACTATTAATACTAAAATTAGACAAAACTAAAGAAAATAACTCTAATTACTATTACAAACTCTTTTAAAATAAATCTGATAAAACAAACCAACATATATAAAGTACATGCTACTAACAAGTCAAAGTTGTGATATCTTACTGATATTGTCGGAATGTTAGATTTTCCATAAGATCTTGGCATGCTCCTCGATCTCACTTCACGTCCACTACTTTATCTTACGCATGAAAATCATCAAGTGTTAAGTAAAACTTAGTGAGACAGAAGTATAGCTAAAACATAAAATCCATAAAATATAAACAATAAACTGAAAATTTAAATAAAAATAATTAAAACTTCAAATCGAGCTAGTCAGACTTATTTCTTTCTAAAACCTAAAAATAATAATCTCATGCTTTTATAAAAAATCATGTAAGTCATCATCAAATATCATAAATAATTTTTATTCTTTTCATTCGAACATATTTTATAATTTTCTTTTCAATTTTATGCTCTTTTTTATGTATTATTATAACTTTCACACTTATTGTTATAGTTCAATGTATATATAAGAAAATATAAATTACGTGAGTATAAGATACGCACTAGGCACAACACGGTGTCGAATCATAACTGAAATTGCGATATGATGCACTTTAGTGCAATCATAACCTGAGCACCAACAATGTTGAACATTGGTACACGAATGTACCAAAACTAAACTGATAACTGAAAAATACCCACTAAATGACATGTCAAATGTACCTACGACTCTCAATACAACATACAATGGGCTTATTTTTATCATCATAGAATCATTTATTAATCTACGTTTGATAACTGTAAAATATCTGATAATTGTAACCAGCTGATAACTAAAAATCATCTGATAACTTTAAATATCTAGAATTCATTATCATAAATATCATACTTAGACAGTTCATAACCAAAATCATTCTAAAACTTGATGAAAAATATTATAGAAATATTACATATTGAAAATGTATAAATCATACTGGAAAATAAAATGAGGTTGACTTATCGCAAGTCGTCATCAATCAGAATAATTAAATAAATAAACTATAATCATTTAAACAATTTACTTATAAATCAAATGTAAGACTCAATAAGCTTAAAAAATTGCTTCAACTACACAATTTATTGAAATTTCATATTATAACAGTTTGCACTACACTCAAAGAAATATTATTTTGTATTAATATATATATATATATATATATATATATATATACATATATTGAAAATTTATTCCGTTTGCACCACTGAAAACTAGATTTGACTTAAAATTTAACCATATAAGGCACTCCATCTAGTTCTACTTGTACAATTTATAGCGAATTTTCAAAATTGACTGACATCTACTATCATGTTTTCTGACCTATCACTGATTAAAAATCCATATCTTTTTGTATATTACTCGAAATCAATTATCGTTTGTTCTAAACGAAACTAGACTGATAGACATATCCAATGGTATAAGATTCATCCTCTAATAGTTTTTGTAGAATTTCTAATAATTCTTTAAACTTACTGTTCAAAACATAATTTCTAGGCAAATTTCACCAACTAGTGTCATTGACTTATTCACTAGTTCACTTACTGTTCAAAACATAATTTCTAGGCAAATTTCACCAACTAGTGTCATTGACTTATTCACTAGTTCTATTAGCTTACTAAATAAACATATAAACTTGAATCACACTTCACGTAACATTGAGAGTCACTTCTTAAAGTAACTTTGACAACATCACATAATAGCACAAGATATTCGAACTATATGTTAGTATCATACTAACATAAGTTAACTTTAATAGAATTAAAGTCTATAAAATAAAATCGATACTAAATCATATTTCCATAAAAAAATTCAAACTTCCCAAATCCTCATTCGATTCCATAAATATTTATTTCTACCATCAACCCTTTAACTTTTCAAATTTTATATTTCAAATCACTAATTATGAATTCTTCTTAGAATTCATTTCAACCTTTCCATCTTGTTCATAATGGTCATTCACCGTTATGATCACTTTTTATTAGTTACCCAAAATTTCCAGCAAATAATTAATACACTCAATCCGATACTTAAATATTTGAAAACTTGTAATTTCATACTTCATTTCCCTAACCTTTTCGAATTCAAACCTTATCAAACTTACAAATTTGATCCCAAATAAATACTCATACTTGAATTTTCAGCACTCCAGCAGTATAGTATCCTACTCAAATGGTACCTTTACATTTAGCAACTTGTAATTAAGTCCCCATTTTCAAGCTTATTCAAGTTAACTCCTAATCTAACCAAATTTGTAATTTGGTCACAAATCATCATTCTAACATTCAAATTCAGCATCCAAACATTAACTTCCAGCATAGGACCATAATTTCACAACATTTGCGCACAAACTCCTCTAATTTTCCTTTATTTGTGATTTGGTCCTTAACTTTTATTCAATCTTCAATTTGGTCCAAAACTTGATTTCAAGCACTCAAGATCACTTCTAATATCATTCTAAGCCATTAGGAAACTTATGAAAATTTTTCTATAATTTCTCCTTTTAAGTTGAATCTCTCCAACTTCTATAATTTAATCCTTAACCTTGTTTCAAACTCAATTACACTATCTACACATCATATTAAATCAATTCAACACAATTCCATATCATTCATAAACAAAACATATTTTTTCTCCAAAAATTTCCCTAGGGTCGAACCTACATAGAGTAGTTGTGTTTGATTTTAACCAGCTTTTAAACTTAATTTCATCACCACAACACTTCCCACAACTTGAATAAACTTTAAAATACAAGAAATTAACATCCCCTTCACCAACTCAAAATCAACTTAAACATAAACCATAGAAATTTTTATATCAAATGAAAGAAGGTTTCATGTAGATGATTTTATCCTTCATGAACAAACTTTAATTCCTAACATAAATGGACCAAAAATAAAAAAGAAACTTTCTTTCACCTTGAACATAACCCACGACTGAAAGAAGAAAGCATGAATAAATTCTGGACTTTTCTATGTATTAATAACCTTTACACTTGTACCTAAAAGATTAAAAATGAATTAAAAATTCATTTCTTGTAAAATGATCAAATTACCTTTAATGAATCCTTTGATTTTCATTCATGTCATACTTTTATTTATAATTTAATATTCTAAAATAAACAAGAAACATACTTTTTGAATTTTTTTGAATTTTCCCTCTAAATTTCCAAAAATTCAATTTAATCCTTAAGTTCCATTGTTTCATAAAACAGGGCAAATGAAACAAGGCAAATCCTTTTAACCTAACTAATCTACTTCGATTTTTCACATTAAAAATACCCACACAACATTTATAATCTCATACTACAATCCTTCAAATTTTTGTAAATTTTTGATTCAATCCGAATATCCGATTATTTACTGAACTTTACCGATAAATAGTTTTTTATGCAAATCACGGATCAAAAATCTGACAGACACGAAAATCCTTCTTTTAGATAAATTATTCATTTACGGGATCA